CTCTCTCTCTCTTTCTTTCTCTCTCTCACTCACTCTCTCTCTCTGTCTCTTTCTCTCTCTGGCCGCTCACGCACTTTTTCCTCGCGTTCCCTCACCTTCTCTCGCTCAGTTCCTCGCGCACACCTGGTGAACAATTTCACTTTCGCACCAGCTTGAATGTATCTGTCCSCTGTTGTGATCAGGTGCGTAGCGTGAAAGCCACGTTCTCTCTCYCATATGCACGCACACGTTGTTTCACTATCTCTCTTGCCCGCCCGCTGCTGCTGCTCGTTGACCCTCCTGCATTGCTACTATGATGACCGAGTACGCCTGGCGCACAGTCCCCAAGCGGACTCGAGCTCCCCTGTCCGATCCCATGAGTGGACTGCGTACACCTGGCGCACTGTCCCCAGCGTGCCCAGCCGGTCTCCCTTATATCCCTTCTGGACTGTGGCTTGGCTCGGAGGAAGGGACCGGGCCTGGTTTTCTGAACCTGTCCGGTGCCAGGAATCGTGAGGAATCACAGTGCCTCCTTCCGGAAGTACCGACAACCAAATATTGTTCCGACTTGTACAGCGCTGCACCTTGTACCGAAATTAGCGGTCCTCTGCCGCCCCAAATCAGCCCACAGCGCCGTATCCGTAAATATCCATGTACCATTCCCGTATCAAACTGCAGAAAGGCTTAGTATCGTCAAACCGGAGTACCGCAACCGTTGCAGATTGGACCTAAGACCGCAACAATCTGTTACCGTCCTGGGGTCCAGTCCGTAGTGTTCTGTCCCAGTAACCTGTCGTCACCGAATCTTAGACCGTACCAATCTGAACCATTGACCATGCGCCACCGTCTCAATGGCCCAACCAGCCATCTCAACATTGAACACTAGTAGATTGTATCAATATTGTCCCAGTAACCGTACCGTCTGTACCGGACCAGCGTACCGTGGCATGTCCAAATCTGTGTACCGCGCTTGCCGCAGACCAGTGTTTCGGCCTGTTCCTGATCCGGTCGCCGTACCAGAAGAATCTCTAGTGAGGGCTCGTTCCAGGATAACAATTCCACATCGCAGTGGCCCGTGAGGTAACCAGTTGAAATGATCAATCGGGGCTGCAGTAATCCGTACCGTTCTGATGGCAGTGCAATACCGAGCCTGAGAATAATGTTGTAGCGCGTATCACAACGATGCCGGACCAATACCGAACCTGGAGTACGTCCAGTGCCGAGCCGATACTGGCCCAAGAATAATAGTTCCGAACTAGTGTAACACCATACCGCACCAAATCCGAGTCTGAATACCCTGAACCGTATCGGCGCCGAGCCTGAAACAATGTCAAATACCGTGCAATACCTCAGTCCCGTAATAATACCGAACCATTGCCATACCAATGCCGAGGCTGAATTTACCAGTCTATGCGGCAGTGGCCTAAACCGGACCAATGTCAAATCGGAAACAGTCAACCGGTGATGCCGACGCCGGACCAATGTCGAACCTGAAAATGATGCAGTGGCGGTTACCACAACGATCCCGACCTAACTCCGTGCTAGTAACATGGCGGTAACCCCACGCCTTCCGTCCATCCCGCACTCATAACACGCAGGTTACGGTGAGGCTAGAAATCAGGGAAATCGGGTAAGCCACACAAACAAATCTCAATCGTCACAAAGTAGAGAGAATCATCGGATGATGAATAGATAAATAATCCGGGGTCAAAATCAATCGCGAATATTTGAGTAAAAAAAA